TGAGTACTAATGTTGATGTTGTTATCGTTGGTGCTGGTGCAGCTGGCGTTGCTGCAGCTATTGAATTACAATCAACTAATTTAAGTTTTCTCGTACTTGAAGCTCGTAATCGTATTGGTGGTCGAGCATATACAGATCAAGAAACATTTCCATCAATACCAATCGATCTTGGTGCTAGTTGGATTCATTCTTATGGACCTGAAAATGTACTCTATGATTATCATGAATCTTTTAATGTTGATGAGAAAAAATATTCAACTGGAAAGTATGGAATTTGTTTTGATTATGATGGTCAACATTTTACAAGTGAAACAATTTTTCATGCACGAATAATATGTGAAAAAATATTTCAACATTTAGAATTATATACTTATAATAAAAAAGATTATGAAGATCTAAGTATTGAACAAGTAATTAAATCCGAATATGATCGATTAGTAACCGATGGACCAATTAAACGTTTCGTTGATCTTATGCTTTCTGGTGAAGAACAATATGAAGGATCTAATTTAATAGATCTTTCAGCTAAATCTCATGGACTTGGATCAGGTTCAGGAAATGATCAATGGGTATCATTTGGTTATGGAAATTTATTAGAACGTATTGCTAAGAAACATAATTTATCAATTCAATTAAATACTTTTGTTACACATATAAATATTACTGATAGTAATCGAATAGCTATAAAAACATCGAATGATTCATCAATAATTTATTGTCGTCGAGTTATTATTACAATACCATTAGGTTGTTTAAAACGTGAAACAATTATATTTGAACCACGATTACCTGGTTGGAAACGTAATGCAATTAATCAAATGGGTATAGGTTTAATGAATAAACCAAGGGGGAACAAACTGATTTCTGATTTCTATGATTTCTAGTGATTTCCAGTGATTTCTGATGACTTCTAGTGATTTCCAGTGATTTCTGGTGATTTCTAGTGATTTCCAGTGATTTCTGGTGATTTCTAGTGATTTCTAGTGATTTCTGGTGATTTCTCGGAAGGGTCAAAAAACTGGTTTGTAATAACAGAAATCGTCAGAAATCATAGGAATCATTGGAAATCACTGGAAATCACTAGAAATCACTGAAAATCAGAGAAATCAAAGAAATCACTGGAAATCACCAGAAATCATCAGAAATCACTAGAAATCACCAGAAATCACTAGAAATCACCAGAAATCATCAGAAATCACTAGAAACCACTAGAAATCACTAGAAATCACCAGAAAATCATCTTGCGATTTCCAGTGATTTCCAGAGATTTCCAGTGATTTCTAGTGATTTCCAGTGATTTCTAGTGATTTCTAGTGATTTCCAGAGATTTCCAGTGATTTCTAGCGATTTCCAGTGATTTCCAGTGATTTCTAGTGATTTCCAGTGATTTCCAGTGATTTCCAGTTGATTTCTAAACTAGAAATCAGTTTGTTCCCCCTTGGAATAAACTTATTGTTCAATTTCCAAATTGTTTTTGGGATTCTGATATTGGTTCTTTTTCACATGCATGTAATGAACGACGTGGTCGATTTCGTTTTACAATTTGTTTACCATCACCAGCAAATATTCTTATTCTATTTGTCACAGGTATATTTGCTAATGAATTAGAAATTTTAACAGATAATCAAATTCTTGAACAAATAATGAAATTTCTTCGACAAACATTTCCTAAAATTACAGTACCTGATCCTATCAATTATAAATTTACTCGTTGGGGACAAGATCCATTAGCTTATGGTTCATATTCTAATTTTGCTGTTCATGCTAGTCCTCAAACTATTGAACAATTAGCAAAAGAAACTTCTGATGGTCGTGTACAATGGGCTGGAGAACATGCTAATATAGATGATGGTACTGAAGATTGGTTATATGCTTGTGTTCATTCTGCTTTTCAAAGTGGACAACGAGCAGCAAAAACTATTCGAAATCAATTATGTTCTTCTTAACTATGCACCTTTTTTTTTCTTTTGTTATATTTGTTTGTTATCCTATACAAATTATCGATTCTTTACAGATGCGATGAAAGTGAGAAAATAGTTTTAGAGATCATAATGATTCTTCTTCTTTGTAGCCATGCATATGATGAGAAGTATCTCAATTATAGGAACACAGGACCATGTTCGTCTCAATCATGACCTCGATAAATCTAATCTGGTATCGATTTCAGTCTAAATAAAACTATTCTAGAATTTATTCGTATTACATCTAGGCCTACAACAATTTCATATTAGTTTCGATCTTGAGAACTGTTCCAACACTTCTTTTGAAAAGAACTGATCTGTTTCAAAATGTCTTTGTAGCAGCAGTTCACAGACATGGGATAGATTTGGTTTCAGACTGAATCCAACCGATTTCAGTTCGATTTGGGAACTAAAATTTGGTTCCGTGCATCTCTATACACGATCGATTTTATTCATCTTATGAGTTGTAAAAACCTAATGAGATAAAATAAAGTGTTACATACTTTCCAACTATGTTGAATAGAATTAAATATATATATTCATTTCTTACCGTTTTAAGTATTCTCAATCCTTTTTTTATTACGTATACTTTGATTATTAATCTATAATGTGTTTCATTAGCAAATGAATCAGAATCATTAATAATAATCCTACGAAATAAAAAATATATTAGCATACTCAAATTAGAAACTGTAATAAACTATCGTACGTGAAAAACGAGAATTAAAATAACAACAAATGTAAGTGATTATTAGAAAATTTTATAAATAGAATGACAAAGCTAATTGATTATAGCATTGGTATAATCTCGATTAAAAAATAGATTTATCACATAACATCTTTATGACAGTATACTACAATTGTATTTAATATAGTCTTTAATGTTATTAATACTGTAACCTTACAATCTACGTTCCATAAATTCAATAGCAGTCATAACTTCTATATTATTATAGACATATGCAATATCAAAACATTTTATGAGATCAGCCGAATAACTATCCCAAATGTAAATGCATGAGTTTAATTTTGTAATATAAAAACAACCAATCGAATAAAGATAAGAAGAATGAGAACTACTGTATCAAAGCAAAAAAGAAGAATCATCATTTATCGAATGTAATTAATTTAAATAAAATATTGTCCATCGATATACTTTCATTTGATATAAATAGATGTGTTTTAAATATACTACTAATAATAATTATAACTATTTCGATCCTATCTACAGTCTCTACTTCGACAATTTTCCTTTATATTTGATCAAAAAATATCAATACAATTTGTTTGTTTGCTATCATACATATACCAATATCTAATAATGTCATAGACAAAATAAAATTTATACAGAATTTGTTTTTAATCAGGTGCAAAACTACGAAATAATTTTCGTTTGCATTAAGCAAACATAGCACGTACTTATTTCTTTTTTTTCAACTAAACAGAGTATTTATTTTCACTTATTCATATTGTAATATATACTTCAATAAGTTCTTTTGCATCGGTATCGAAAAATGATCTTCCAAAGTATTTTTATGAACAAATGAACCAAAATTTTAAATTATTGGAGTATTAGACTTCGAGAGAAGATAATTATTATTAGTCTATCAAAAGGAATAATACATCAACTAAAAAATCTTTCATGGTTTTTTATATTGGAACATAACAGCATAATATATTTATACTTTACATATCATCTATGAATTAAGTTAAATTCGAAGAAAAAAAAATCAATAAAAAATGTTATCCAATAAGCATAAGCTTAACATAAGATCAGTTCTTTATTCTTATTTTTTGTTAATATGCGGTCTACAAGAAATTTTAACGTATATAGAGTAGAAGTTTGCTGATATACTATTAAACACCACACATAAATAACGCCCCATTATAATATATGAACTGCATCCTTATTCTCTTTTTGGAGGATAGGGAAAAGGACGATGAAGATATGTGTCCCAAAATGGATAGAATAAAACAATCTATCTGTTATTAGTAATAGCAAGTACATCGTACTTCACATTTTTTAATCGCACAGGGACTGTGCTTACAGGTTTTGCGATCTTTTAAAATCTATATTTAACTTTCCCTAAGATATCAATTGAACAAATAGAGTTACATGATTGATAATCTATTCTTTTTCAGAAACGAAAAAAAAAATAAAAACCTTTGCATATGAATTGTCTTTTATACAAGGAAAGGTAAGAAATATGATGAGTGTATACATAGATGACATTTACAAGGAAAAAAACAAAAAGATTTGTCCTATTGATAAAGACAAGTGAGATTTGTAAATTACAATTTCATTTCTAATGAATGTATTCATCGAAAAATGGCATTACTTTTCAGATGTATATAGTTTTTATTATAATAAATAGTATTAGTTTGATTGCCATCAAGTAAGGTAAATTCATATATAGATTCTTTTTTTTTTCTTCATTTATATTAAAAGCTTATTATCATCTGTATAAAATTTATTCTTGAAATTTTTCGTTCGATTAAATAAACTATTAAAGTATAATAGAAGAAATTATGCATTAATTTATATTCTATTGAATGTTTCGTTTTTTGTATTATAGTCGATTTTTTTCTCTTTCCTAATATAAATGCAATAAAAAAAAAACTTCAGAAAATGGATGATGAAAAAAAAATCACAATTGAATTATGCACTTGTGTAATTTTATGTAAATGTAATCAAAGTAGGTTAGTAATGTTTTTTTCTCTTGTATTTTCTTTTTTTTTCTTATTCGAAATCAAATAATTCAAAAGCTTTTTAATCTTTACTATAATAAATAAAAATATCACATAATTTAATATAATATTTACAGTCTTGGTAAGATAAATATTGTTATTTATATGTAATGATGTCTTTCAAATTTTCAATAATGAATTCATTATAAAAGTTTTCTTCTTTTTTTTATTTTTAATATTTATTTAAAAAATAAAATAAGATATGATCGTTACAAGTATTTCGTATATGAAAAGCTATTATTGAAATCAAAGTATAATTAATCATTTATATATTTCACTATATGATGAATGAGAAATAGCAGTACTAAGTGCAATAGATGAAATAATACCAAATATTTCAATCAATAAAATACTACCTAATACACTTCCAATGATTGGAAATTGCTTCCATAACCATTGAATGACAACATTAGCACAACCTTGATCAAAAATAGATTTATCAAAATCTTGATCTTTATAACAAGCAACAGGAACTGTATAATTATGTTTATAATAATCTGTAACATTGTTAATACCACAACATTTAAATTCACGTTCTATATCTTCTATAACATATTTAAGATCTGTATGATTATTACTATAAATTTCAATAAATAATTCTCGAAAACCCGAATAATAACTATCACGAATACGAACACGATAAGTCAATGTGATAATAAATGCTGCTAACTCAGTGATAATAAGAAGACTAAGAATTGCTGCATATAAATATAAAAATACTCGATTCTTAAATACAGCACCTTAAATAAAACATAAATTATAATATGTATAAATCTATCATTATGTTACATACCCAAACAACCGAAAGCAGATAATAATATAGTAAAAACAGCAACAATAATCATAATTATACCTACCCATTTTAAAGCACTTCCTCCAATAATTTTTGTATTAATATGTTCCGATAATGCAATATCAAATTTTTTGCTTACTTGAACATAAATACCAAAACCCAATAATGTAAAACCAAAAATCAAAAATCAAATATTTAATATGAACAAGATTATACGTGTACAGCGGATACTACATGAAAGATGAACCATAGTTAACGTTTTCTTTTTTTTTTTTTTAATTTAAGAAAGATATATAGAGATCCTTTTATATGAGATGCCTTTATATAGATGAAAAGATAACAAACCATGACGAATATGTTCCGAAGATAAAATGTAACAATAAATGAGTAATACTATTACTCCCTAGATAAAATTTTATCAAATGAATCAGTAAATTAGACATTTTTTTTCCTTCCTGAAAAGATACATAACGTTATCAAACATTTATGTCGATTTTCAAAATCACAATAAACATTTCAGTTTGTATTAATTTCTTGCATAAACTATGATCATAGTTTCATAGATTTTGTAACAATCAATACAATGACACTTCATATCAATTTTCTAAATACTATCAAACGCATAATATAGTATTTATTGACTATACATTTATAATTTTCAAATAAGCTTTCAACCGACAAAGGCCATTTTTGTTTTTTCTCTTTCAATTAATCATATTCTTTAACGATTAAAAATCGATATTATTGAAGTATATTATGTTATTCAACTGTCGTTTTTTGAAAGTAAAATTTACCATTAAAGGCCGTTCTCTTTCTCACCTAGAAAATGTCAAACTTGTTCTCTGGTAATCGTCGATATTTGTGTCACTCGAATAAAATGGCACTTGTTGTCATCAGAACTTTTTCTTTTTTTTTTCAAATATTGCTTCAATAAAACATATAACATTCTTCGTTTTTTTTTTTCTTCATTTTTCTATTATAAAACAAGTACAAATGTTGATTAAAATATGTAGGAATAAATAAACATTACAATTATAAAACTATACGAGGATATGTATGCCTTAGAAATATATAACTATTTGATTTTTACTATTGAATTTCGATTTCTTTCTTTCTCGCACTAGGATGTGTACAAAAAAAAAAGAGAAAATGACGAAAAAAAAAAAAAAAGAAGAAAAGAAATTAATAATAACTAACACGAGATGCGATATCGTTCGTTGACATACACACACAGGTGTGTGTGCAAGTAAAAAAAAAATGAGAAACCAAATGGTGTTTATTTTGAAATACGAAAAAAAAATGAAGATGAAAAGAAAAAGAAATCGAAAATTGAATCGTGCTCTTTTACTATTCTATGCACAAAAAAAGAGAGTAATTTTATCGATTTTGTAGGCGATAATCGTCTTTTTTTTTCTCTCGTTTTTCGTTTTTTTATTCAAAAGCAGAATTGACATACAACATAAAAAGTATATATGTAATCTTTTGCTCTTATGTGTATAATCAATAAGAATAAGTATGGTGCCAAAATGATTTTGACCACGGCGACAATCTAATGAAAGTCAAGTGTTCTATGTAGCTGACATGATCGATATATGTATGTTGTCATTTGTTTGTCATAGTTAATGTTACTGTCACATAGGATAAAGTGAGTGTGTATACAACACTTTTCATTTTCAAGTGTTGTTGTATTTTTCTTCAAATATATGTCGTTTCTTATTGATATTCTTATAAAAAAAAAAAAAAAAAGAAAAAAGAATCTTTTAATATTGTTCAAAACTTCAAAGTGTATCATATTCTTTTGTATGAAAAGAAAATATATAAAAGGGGCGTTGCTGTTATTTTATTACATACGTTATGAATCGATTCAGTACACACACACACACACACACACACATATATATATATATATATATATATAACACAGTCTATTGATCGATTGCAAACAACAAGAAACGGAAATTGAAACGTTCGTTCTATTGCTGCCGCCAGACAGTAAATGAGTCTTGTGATTATGCTTATTACTTTGAGAGATCGATTCAGTGTGTGTATATGTGTATAACGAATTGAAAACTGTTGATCGATTTAAATGAACATTCATATTTTCTTTTTTTTTTCTTAAATGAGCAGAAGTCTGAAGAATAATTTGTTCACATGCATATATATATATATACATCTGCAGTAGTATGTTTTAGATCAATTTAAAAGAAATTTACCGATGTGTAGCAGACGCGTGTCTGTTATCTCTCTCTTTTTTTTTCATTTTTTAGCTTCACAAACATCATTCATCTCATCAATATTTTTCAGAGCTTTTCTTTCTTTCCGCTATCATATTGTCCTAATCACCTCGAGCAGCAAGAGGTGAACCGTTAAAAGTCAATGGCATATCAGCAAAAAAAAATAAAGAAAGAAGAAGACGAAGAAGAAAAAGAAGAAGAATCATCGAACGTTGTCCATCATCAGCTCGCCTGACTGACTTGAATAAACATCAAGCTAGGCTTCTTCTTCTTGTTCTTCTGTCTATCTGTATGTTATGTTTTCATTTTGGAGTGCTTTTTTTCCCGTTAGGATGCTTGTTTTCTAAGATTTATTATTTGTATCATCAGATGAGACATGCTGTGGTAGTGCGTTAGTCTTATCCGTATGTATATACATATATCGAGAAAATTTTTTTCATCTGCAATGTGTATATTACTTTTTCCTTCGATCTTATTCATTGTTGCATCACACAGCATGATCCAACTCGTATGGAACGATATTTTAAGAATGAGAGAAAAAAAAAAGAAATGATATGTCAATACTTCTATGAATATAGAGAGAGAGAAAAAACTCGAGCAATAGATATTGGTTTATTGGAACATTATTTTCTCTAGAGAAAATCAAGATATTTGATCAGTCTCGTTTCTCATTTACGTTTTGTTGCTAAGAATAACAAAATGAAAAAAAACAAAAAAAAAAAAAAAGAAAAATAGAGAAATTTGTTTTCATTTAAATTATCTGATTCATTACATCTGTTCAAGATAGATAAGAAATTTTATAATTACTAAATCATTTTGTTTTTATTTTTATTTTCATTTTATATTTTGTTTTTGTTATTGAATCAATACAAGCAAAAACTTTTCCTTGTTCTTATCGTCATTTTCTTCCTGTACTAGACGATTTGTTTGTTTTTTTACATTCAGTTAGAGAAAATTTTTCCTATTGGCATAAAAAGTATGGAATAACTTGTCTATAGTATATTACTAATATTATTCTTATTCTTCGGTTTTTTTTTTGCTATTTGTTATGTATGTATATATATATATATATAGTATATCATACTAATTTCTTTCATTGGTTTTCTGATAAATTTGAAGAATTTGACCTTTTGATCTTTTTTTTTTGTTCTTTAGATTAATACAAAAAGAACACACCAGATGTTCTTTTCTACTAAGATATTGATCATCTTCTTCCTCATTTTTCAATTAGATCCGTGTGTCGCTTCCGTTCTCTCATTCTCAATCGGGCAAGCAAAGCCCAAACGATATACGTGCATATTCTATCTTTCTTTTCTTATATATACATCTATATATATGTGTGTACACATGTATTGAAAATATGGGCTAGTACGACGCGTGCCTGCTTGACGATAATGATGATGAGCCAACGGGGGTTGCTTGATTTTGAAAGAAAAAAAAAAAAAAAAAAAAAAAGAAGATGGGCATCTCGTTTGCTTCTGCTACGTTAGTTCTTCTCATAAAGAACAAAACTAATAAATCTTCTTCTTCTTCTTTCTTTCTCTCTCTCTCTCCCTCTGTCGATTTTCTATTGTACATATATATATATATTTTCTCTCTCTCTCTCTTTATTTAGATTTTCTTTTTTTTTCTCTCTGTCTTGTTTTTTCTTTTTCCTGTGTCTGATGCATCGTCTCAAATGATGATCATTCAAGACGAGCATATATTGAAAGCAGAATCAACTATGATTGGTGATAATAATTCAATCATAAAAGAAGATGAAATCAATGATTTGTCAATAACAAAAACGAATAATGAAACTATTATTAAACGTAATGATGATTTATATAAATCATCAAATAAACGTAAACAAATTAAACCAAATAGGTAAAATAATAATAATAATTAATTAATTAATTAATTAATTGAAATAAAATAATTTATTTTTAGACTTACTAATGATGATGAAGGAATTCCGACTGGTAAAAAACAATTTTACAAAAACAACAAAAGAATGTTTTTATTTTTATTTTTTAGATTTAACCAATGGTCAATCATCACCATCTGATGATCTTGAACAATATTCACCAACAAAACAACAAGAAGCTTATTGTAATTTATGTGAACGTTCATTTTGTAATAAATATTTTCTTAAAACACATTTTGTTAAAAAACATGGAGGACTTAATCTTATGTCTCCATTATCAATAGAATCAAATAATAATAATAATAATAATAATCAAATATTATCACCATCAACACCACCAAATCTATCAAATGAACAACCATTACCATTAATTGTTAATCAAAAATTAAGTGAAGATTATTGTGAAGTTTGTATAAATTTCTTTCTTTTTTTTTTTCAAAAATTTAGTTTTATTTTTTGTATCTATAGATTTGTCAAAAACGTTTTTGTAATAAATATTATCTTCGTGTAAGTAATCAAAAAAGTTGAAGTTAAGTCACGTTCATTGTTTACATTGCCTGAGAAGAAGGACTTCTAGTTTAAATATTCAAAACATTGTCAAGCACGCACACTAATAGATTGCTTTACTTTCGTTCAAACTACTGTTTGTTGAGATTACTTCTTTTGTTCAAAAAGATGTGATGTTTAATTTTAGATGAATCTTTCTTTTTTTTTTCTTATTCGATGTAAATATTGAAGAGAGAGAGAGAGAGAGAGAGAGACAGCGAAAGAACATAGTGAACATCTTCAAAAGATTGTTAGAACAGAGAAAGAGAGCTTATCTGACTTTTAATAAGCTTATTTATCCACGAACGAACGAATGAATTTCGACATGCATACCAATGTTTATTGGAGAAAAGAGAAAATAAACAATTCGTTAGTTGAGATGTGTAAAAGGATTAAATTTAAGTTCTCATCTTCTTTTTTTTTAAATAGAAACACAAGGGTGAATGTCATGGTGTCTATACGGATTATATAAAATCATTACAAAAAAGTGCTAATGAAAGCCCGGTCAAAAATAATAATACTAGTCGACCTATGCAAGGTAAATATAGGACTAAAAAAACATTTATATCAATGAAATTTTTTTTTTTTTTTTTTTTTTTTATTTAAGTGCCATCTAATAATTCAAATATGCTTTTAATAAATTCATTTTATCTTCCAACACCACCAACAACAACAGATATTAAATCAATTTTTCCTACAACAACAACAACAACAACAACAACAACATCATCATCATCATCACCACCACCACCACCACCACCACCTTTAAATAATTTTCCAAAAGTTGATACAACAAAAATTTCTTCACAACGAACTATTCGTCGTTGTAATGTATGTCAACAAGAATTTCGAAATAAAGCTCTTTTACGTATGCATATGAATACATTTCATCCAAATGAAACAAATAAAAAAAATTTAAATAATAATAATAATAATACTACTACTACTAATAATAATAAACAGAATATAAAACAATCATCAATACCAACATTATCACTACCGCCATCAAATAATTTAGGATTTTTACAACCATATGTTGATACAACTAGTTCACTTGCACATAAACTTGTTGCTGGTCAAGCATCACAAACATCATATGGAATTCTACATGATTCATATTTTTGTGCGAAAATGGCTGATCGTGTTATTTGTGAAATATGTAATAAACAAGTTTGTAATAAATATTTTCTTAAAACACATAAAGGTAAAAAAAAAAATCAAATCAATTTAATTATAAAATGTTTATATTTTTAATTTAGCTAAAGTACATGGAATAATTAATGGAACAAATAATATTTCAAATGGTAACACTGATAATACACCACCAACAATGGTACCAACAAATAATCTTCAACAAACATTATCAACAGATATAATTAAATCACCAACAACAGAGAATCATCAAGATGAACAAATAGAGAACGATACTGGTATGAAAACGAACATAAACAAAGAATTTTTATTTTTAAATAAAAGAAAAAAAAACAAATAGATTTTTATATCGAAGTAAGAATTTGAATAGAAGATAATTTCTTATCAAATGAAAGACTTAGCTTTATCATTATATTTCTATTTTTTCTTTGAACACAATTTGAAAGAAATGTTGAACTATAGTTAGAGCACTTCACCGGATCTTTTCGGATCCGGTCAAAGAAATATGAATCATTCATCTTGTAGAGAAATTTTTTTCTTTCACGAAAAGTACAACAATGCATTATAATCAAAATAATTTAATAAAAAAAGTCCGAATCCACATTTGCTACAAGATGAACGATTCGCATTTCTTTGATCGGATCCGAAGATTTTTCTTAGATCCGGTGAAGAGCTCTGACTACAGGGGTAGAAATTTGGACCCTGTAGACAACTGAGCAATACTTCTCCGTGTCTAGAGTCTGTCGGGTTGGTCTCGGAATTAAAAATGTTCTATTAACTGAATCTGGGCTTGACAAACTTTCTGTTAAATGAGTCTGGTTCTGAAAGTTTTGGATCCGATGGGCTCTAGTCGTGTGAAAAATGTATAGGATGTGCTAGTCACTGAATAGAAAAAAGTATCTTGTATCTTTCGGATGACTATTCAATGTTGATTAGAAAATTTCATTGAGAATACCAAAGTACGGTTTGATTGGGTCCTACTTCCAAAAACATTCAATAAACCTGTTTTGAATCCGACGGTCTCTACTCGCATCACAGATTGACAGATACAATTACAGATCGTTTATCAATAAGATCTCATTGATAATATGTGAACTACTATTCTAATTAGTAATAATAGCTGCATTATATTTCTTTTTTTTTGTTTTAGAACATGCATCACCTGAATCGAATGAAATTAATGAATTAAATATTGAAAATACAGATACATATTGTTCTATATGTAAAAAAGATTTTTCAACAAAATATTTATATTTTTTTCATATGCAAACAATACATAATGATACATCTGATCCAACATATAAAACATTAATACAATTTATGAAAGCAGCTACATCAATGAATGAAAATTCTGTACAAAATCCATTTTTATCTTTAGCAACAACACTTGGAAATCAAACAATAAATAATATTGAACAACAAGAAAGTGAAGATGAATCTGATGGAAATATTGAACAATTAAAACGTAAACGTAGTTTAAGTCAATCATCAATAGATTCAAATAAACGAATAAATTCTTCAACAGAAATAAATGGTGGTTTACAACCATTTTTACTTGAAAGTGAAGATCCAAAATTTGCACATACATTTGTTCCTTGTATGGTTTATTTACCTGTTATACGACGAGTCACAAAACAAGTCAAACTTAATTTACGATTAAAACCTGTTTTAGCTGACATTTCTTAATATTCTTTAATAAAACAAAACAAAACAAAAAAAACCGAAATATTCATAGGTGTGTGTGTTTGTTTGTTTGTTTCTTTGTTTGCTGTTTGTTTTCATTTTTTTTCAACAATGTTTGTTTTATGTACTAAACATAAAAGTTCATTATTCATGACATATGGACGTTGAATAGAACCATCATTTTCATCTAAATCTTGAAGAAAACATATAAATAATGTTTTTATTGCCATATCATAAACACTAAAAAAAAGACTTGTTATAAGATAAGTAATTAATAAAATAATAACAATTGGTATCCAACGAAGAATAAGTTGATCATATTCATCTGTCCATTGAAGATATTGATAAAATAAATATGTATTACATGTACATATAATAATTATACCACAAAATAAAATACATTCAGTTAAATGTATAAGTATTGCAAATCGAAGACAATTATTAATTATATAAAAAAATGCTTTACGTGTTGCTTTACAAAATGAATAACCATGTGATGCAATTAATACATAAGAATTTTTATTAAGAAATTTAAGAAATTTTTCAAATAACCATAAAAAACATGAAAAACATTTCGATATAAATTCTATAATAATATTTCGGTGAATATTTGAACATTTTTGACTAATATAATCAAGTATAATACGTATAAATCTTAATGTTGAAATAAGTAATGAACCAAATGCAATTGAACCTAAATGATATCGTATAATAATACATATTGAATAAATAAGTGGACATGATATTGTTAAATGTTCTTTTGACCAATAATAATTTGAAAAAACTCCAGCTAAAACAATTTCTTCAAATGCAAATAAAAATGTACTTAACCATATAAAAGCAAATATATTAAACCATTTAAGATATGTTTTATTATCAACAAGATATTCAATAATATTACGTGTTATAGGATCTGTTCCATTTAATACTAATGAATCATAACCATATTCTTGTTGAAATACACATTCTGTTGAATTTATATTTGGTAAACAAGGTATTGTTTGATTATTATCAATTAAACGAAATATTGGTTTACCAACTGTTGATAAACACATTTCAATATAAATAATACATAATATTAAAAGAAAATATATGATTATTATTAATGGTGACCAAATAATTGTACTTAAAACAGAAAAAACTGCACGTGTTCCTTGATCTATTAATATTATACTTAATCGTATACGATCAAATAAAGTACATATAATAAATAAACTAAGAAAAAATAAAAATGTTGTTATACAACCAAATACTTTATAAATTGTTCGTAATTTAATAAAATCATTAACAATTCTTGCAACTGTACTATATTCATAAACAAGATCTCGTCCAGTATAAATTGTATACCAACAAAATAAACTGCATAGAAATAGTATTACAAGAAATAAAATAATAGTTAGAATAACAATTATACGAGTAAATTGTTTTACAGCAAACATATAAAGTAAAGTAAGTATACAGGCTACAAGAATAAATAATGCTAAACTTTCTTTAATACGATCAAGATCAGCCAATATTACTCGACCAACATCAGATATACTATTAATACCGAACATATTAGTATTTATTTGTTCAATTGATATATTTGTTTGTAATGTTTGATGTTGTTCATAATCAAATAAATTTATAAAAATCGATGGTAAACATCGACCAAGAAATGGTTCTGATTCTATTGTATATGGGGCACAAAGACCATTATTAACTAATTCAATTATTGTTCGATTATCATTTATTGGATTAAAACCATACATACATATTAGTTGTTGACGTGTGTAATTTTTGGATAGATAACCAGCTTTTTCTATTGTTTGTAATGATTGATAATGTGAATATTGTTTTGGACATGAATTAACACATAATTTTGTTGTTGGACAAACAAATCCAAGACCACCATCTGTTAAACATTTACTTATATCAAAGTACAGTTGATATGGTTTAGAATCAAATTCATTTTGTCCACATATATTACCTAATGAATCACTTGGTTGAATTAAACTTCTTGGATTACCTTGAGTTATTGCTAATAATGATATAAATCCATAAATAATAATAAAAATAATGAATAAAATAAGACAAAATATATCCGTACAATGTCGCTGTTTATAACTAACGAAATGTGTTGATTGGGAAGTCATCGTTGAAAATGATTTGCATCGTTGTCTTGTACTGAGATTTATTTTCATCGTATAATAGAACAGCTGAGACATTCATTATCTACGTTGAATAGTCACAGATGTTATTAATCGAAAAAAAACCAATATCAAAAAGCTTTTTTTTTTTTACAGTAGAATACTTCGTATACTTAATTTTATAAAGGGAAAATCTTTTGTTTAAGATTTGTTACTATTATATATATTACGCAGTTAAATTTATGACAATTCCGGATCAAGTGATTAAATTGCGTAGTTTCAGAATGTGGATTTTTTCATTAGATTTTCTGGTTAATTCTTCATAAGTCTGGCATAAGACTACTTTAGTTAAGATGATGAAAAAAAAGTAATGGTACATAAAATATAAATATGAAAATACTGACGGATCTATACGAGTTTTATGAAAAGATATGAAATGATGGCTATGTGAAATTTCGCATATTTTCGATATAAATACGTCAAAGACTTTATGTTGCTAACTTAATATTTGTAAAGTATGATTTAGCTAATGAAAAATAAAGTGATACTATTTTAGAAATTGTTTTGTATCATCCATTAGTACTGAAAAACAAATTTCTTCAACCAACAAAACATGAATACAATCGAATGTATACGAAATATAATATCAATAAATTCTAGATCATTATCATTACAAGGGGTCAATCAACTCCTAGTTTAAGCGAAAGATTCGTTCGAACAGTTCTGTTTCGAGAAAGGTGTTTCAGTAACAGAACAAAAATTGTTTAGACAGATCAGAGAATGCTTTCAACAGTTTCGCAAATTCGAAATAGAACTAACCTTGTCAAACTCGAAATTAAGGATGCAACGATGACAGTGCATTAGTCTAAACATGTACGTATAGAATAACGGTAAATGTATAATAAAACTACGGGTAAATCGGCTCTCTCAGGAAAACTGGTTTTTAGATTTCGACATGAAACTCTGCGTAGAGGCAGTCCTTAACGAGAATAGTTTCTTGTGAATGTTACAGATCTTGTCGTTCTTCCTTTTTTAAGATACAGCTATGGTGAAAGCGTATCTGTTACTTAATCAAAAGACTTGAAACGTTCACAATAAACTACACTCGTTGAGATCTGTCTTTGTATAAAGCTGCGAGTCGAAACTCGAAAATCAGTTTTACTGAGATGAGCTATGACATTCATTTACAAAACTACCATAAGTTTACAATATCTACTCAGCAATAAGCTAAGGATCGGAACTCTGTTCAGGATATTCAAAACTCATCTGAGTCTACAGGATACAAATAGTCCAGGCCCAGAATCGATTTATTAGTTCCGAGAGTTCTCTGCTTCGTAGCAAAAATAAAACATTGATTCCATTTCAATAGTTAATCATTCGAATTGTAAAATGACCTATAGCTAAATCAAACTTTCTAATAGCTATTGACTCTATGCTTAGTTAAGCGAACAATATCACTCATACAAATTTTATTAAATGTTTTTGAAGTTACTCTTTTTATTATGTAAGAATAACGTCTTGTTAGCATTAACAATTGATTGACACGTCTATATTATATTTATTTATATATCACATTTATAATAAAAAATAACTATTTATTAATTTCGAATATTCTATTAAATAACAAAATTCATCTTTACACAAACTGATTTACATACAAATAGTTTTTTTTGTCCTCTATTTGTTTTGTTTTAAAAAAAATTCAAAGCATTCATAAATATATTAAAGTCCTTGATGTTCTAATTCATTATAGATTTGTAGGACTGCACAACATGGACAAAAACATATAACACATGCATCACGACATACTGTACCCTAGGAAAAAAAAATACTTCTTTTTTTTTAATTCTAAAAAATGAATGCAAATATACATACCCGAATTCGGAAACCTGTTCGAATTTTAGCTCTAAATGCAGTACTACCTATGAATAAAATAATAATCGATAAATTTTTTTTTGTTTTAGATTTATTCAACATACCTCCAGGCAAACACCATGTACATAAACATGCTTGTGTACGTGTATGTAATTGACATGTAAAACAAGGACAACACCAATATGCAAAGCAACCTAGATCGATAAAAAAAAAAAAGTTTATCAATTTTTTTTGTTCTGTTTTTCTTTTCTTCATACATATTCCTAAATCATCACGACAATGACATAACCCTGTATCCCAATCATTTTCAAATGCCCAATAATCTCCAGTCGGTTGTGTTTTTATCAAACTTAAGAAAAATAAAAACATACAAAATGTGTAGGTTAAATTTCAAATATTCACAGCAACAACAACAACAAAAAAAAAGACAAAGAAAATTTACTTAGCCATGTGTAATAATATCTTGATAAGAAATTTTCAATATATAAAGATTTAAAATGATTGTTGACGTCTAAATCATTTTGTCATGTATACATAATTGTTGCTGTGATACATTTCATACAAAATAACTACAGTTATTATATTATGAAAATGGTAACAATAAAGAAAAACAATACTATTATAATGCAATAACATAAAAAGGTTCGATCGATGAAAACACCAGTTTATTGAGGTATAGAATGAAGTATGTTTACTTTATGATTATTAAACTTGCTGTTGTGACACTTTTTTTCATGTGTTTGTGCTTTGATAGAAAAAAAAAATGTTTTCAATGATTAATAGAAATATGAGATTAATTTAAACATGTTTTGAAGTTTTATGTTAGTTTAAATTAGTGATGCAGCCAAAGGTGGGCGGAGCTGAGTTCTTCCACTGACTGAAGTCACACCCGATAAATTCCACCCGTCATATATTATATGGATTAATAACGATTAATTAGTTATTCAAGAGACACTCCGATTCACGAATATTTAGAAGGAAAATTGTTTCTGCACTGATGCTAGTGAGTAATCGAACAGTAATATGATGCAATATAGGTAGTATATGCATTTAAAATGAAATTGAATACTGACAAAAACAATCCAAATGACTATAACAAAATTGAATTACATTATGATCGTTCCAGTAGTATTTTTCGCCGATTTAATCATGAATAATATTTTCAGGTCAGGATAATGTGCATTATGTAGACCGTAATGAATTATGAATACTCGAACAAGAGTTTAAGTTGTTAACATATTGCTGCTGATATGCTGCATTTGTGTGATACTTTTTTTAAGATTAAAATCGTGCTCTTCCCGAATTCAAGAATACTGAAAAAACTGATTTTCGAATTTCGACTTAAAACTTTGCCCAGAGATCAGTTTTGAATAAAATAGCTCGTTATGAAAATTTCAGATCTTTTCGTCTTTCCTATTCAAAGATATAGCTAAAGTAAATGCATGCTGTTTTTTTTTACATCATTTACATACACTGCTAGATGTAATGTTCTTATTTCAGGATATGAGCAAATCAAAAGATCTAAAATTTTCACAACAAACTGTTCTGGTTAAGATCTATCTCTGTGCAAAAAACTTCAAGTTGAAATTCGAAAATCAGTTTTTCTGATGTTTCTGACGATGAGGAGGATCATGGCATTGTGCTAAAATATACAGTACTTCGGCAGCAATAAGATACAAGATGTATTTTCAATAAAACTTTTTGCCGTATATTTTGAATGTATAACAGTTGAAAGCTACAATAGTATTGTTAATTAGTAATATGAGTACGATCAAATATAAGGAACTTCATACTTTTATTTTAATGTCAGTAAATAGTCGTAGAGAGAAGATTTTTTATTCCTTCGATGAGTTCAATCATACACGATAAATTTCATATCTTTGCTGCAATATGAAATAATAGTTCGGGCGAATCATTCATAATTGTTTATGTGTCATTCTAATTCAATTTGAATGCTATTCTCGTTTATGCATAACATCGAAACAAACGTTGGTAATAATGAAAGGAAAATGTAAGTATATTCTTGTTAAATAGGATTAATTTTGTGAAACACGATCATCTCGTTATAGTATATGAACTACTTCCTTATTGAATTTGTGGAGGATTAAGTAAAATAATGGTGAAGAAAGATGTCCCAAAATAGAATCAAACAACCTCTATGATTAGCAGCAGCAGCAGCTACATCATATTTCACATTTTAATATTGTAGAGATTACGCTAACAGTTTTTAATCTTCAATGAAACTAACAAACACCAATTCAAATATAGATCAATAATTACTAACAATTTACATCCAAAATCTATTTCGAAACTGTTCTTTTTCTTTTTTACATTTTTGTCTGCACGCAAGGTCTTTTTTTTTTCAAAATTAATAACCATATATTACAAACTATTCTGTATGAAGAAAAGAAAAGAAAAGCATGTTGGAATGTCGAATAATAGATGATGATAGATGATTATAATTAGTTGAGAATTTATTAAAAAGAATTTTTTTTATAACAATTAATATATTCAAGTTTGTCTGCTGAGAAGGTTTTTTGAAATTTTTCATGAATATTCTGCTTATTCTAGCAGCTGTAGAAGATGACCTTGAACTGTCGGTAACCATTGATTTTCTCTTTAGATGAGTCACTTGTTAATAAAATGTAAAAATCTTGAGATATAAAATTGCAGTTACAGGTTGTACGATAAATCAGTTATTGACTGTGAGAACCTATAGCGGTTTTATTTTGTGGTATCTCGACATTTATAACTCAAATATTATCGTCAGAGGTGAATTGAAAAACAAAACCTACAATAAAATGTTTTTTGTTTTTTATTTGAAGAGATCAGTATAGTTGTTAATTTTTTTTTTCTATCTAATTCAATTTAGTAATCGTATACTTGAAATATACGTAATGTTATGAGATATTGTTATTATTATTTATTTAACTATTTGTATCATATAAAATTCATTGTAATAAACGATCGTGACAAAATAATCTTAAAATTATTATTGTAATGAATTCATAAACACTATGCCTATGCTCACTAATATGTAGTTTTTAATATTATACTAAATATGATGAGTAGTCAATGTGAATTTCTCGAGGGGAAAAACAGCAATCTTCAAGACTTTAGAATCTCCTCAA